CAGCAGGAACTGAGCCCTCCTGCCACAGGCAGAAGCAGCATCTTCAGCTTCCCGCCAAGTTTCCATTGGCACTCTTAATAGCTAACTGGGGAAAGAAAAATACAACCTTTCCCTCCTTTGTTGAAAGATTGCCAGTCCTGCAATAAGGAAGAGGTAGGTTAAGACTGAGGACTGGATGGGAATTCACATAGAGAAGAGGTCTCAGGAGGATAAACATTCCTTCTACGCATGTGCCTCTTTCTCCTTACATTAAAATGTTGCTGTGTAATTGCAGAAAAGACTGCAAAAGGAAAAGGAAGAGGTTACCCTTCTGTCTTCCTATTTCCTTCACTCCATTGAAACCTTTATCTGTGACAGTTCTTCTCCTTGTTCCAGATTTTGTCTTTGAAACTCCAGTCCCAGGCTAGTCACCTCTATTGATTCAGGTGGTAGAAGAGTGCAGTCTGCTGCTCTCTTAGGACAGTGATCTACTGTACTGCTTGAATGACAAATCAGCTGAGCAGCTCCCCAGGGCAGGATACTGTAAGCAGATCTGTGGACGCCCTGGGAACATCAGGCAGAATGATTGTGTGTGATGTCCAGATACATGTGGCATCTGTTTGCATGCACCTGCTGGGAACCTGGGGACTGTCAGGGAATTTGTTAACATTAATACATGTCATCAACTTGTAGGGTAGATCTAGCCCGAAAAAAACCCCACTCTCCTCTAAAGCCATTCCCTACCCTTACCTCAAGACCCTTTACAATAACCGCATGGAGATTCAAAGAGCGACAATGTTTCGGCACTCTAAATGTCCATGTAACCCAGTTCTCTCAAAGTGATGCAGGTGAGACAAGGCATATTATTTACAGTGCTTAAATGTACCCAGATTATTATGACAGGTTTGGGTTAAGGATCACTATACATGAAGCCAGGGCAGCAGATCTGAAGACCAATACTATGCAGCAGGGAAATTTAGTTGCATGCGAACTGAATAGCTGCTCTAGGACTTCTAGCTTCTTACTCCTTTTTGCCTGTGCCCGGCCATGCCCTGAAATGTTCCAGAATTTGGACAACTGTCCATAGATCAGTTCACAGAGCAGACAAAATTAACATTCAGCATGAGCTGAAAATCCAGAAGGATGAATAAGAATTAACAGCTAGCGGCTGAAAAAAGTGATTTATGTTTTCCAGCCCACAGATAAAAATATCTTAGGGATGTTCTTTCTTCTTTATTACAGCACCTGATGACTCTTCTCTGTGCAGACAGGCTGCAGTACATGGGAAACTGATAAGCACATTCTTCCATGATTTTAAAAAAAAAACAAAAAAGAGAAAAGGAAAATGTGACAGTTCATTTGTTGCACAAGAAGAATGTGATTCTCCACCAGCTTGCATTTTTAAAAGTTATCTGCATCTGTGGGAGAGAGTGAAATAACCCCGCGCACATCAGGTGATGTTAATAAGTATTTTGCAGTGGTGCAGGACAGGAAAGATTGTCTTGCAGGTAAAGCACTAGCTATAGAGTTTAGAGGTGTGGGTTCTGTTTTAGTGCAGTCTTGACATCTAATTTTTCTTTCCTGCGTATAAAATAAGGATTATATTATTTTGTCTCCAGTGCTGTGCCTTTGCATTTACACTACAGACACTTCAGAACAGCAGCTATCTCTTGGTTATCTCTTGTAATGTCCAGGGCAAAAAGGACTCAGTTTTGCTGTGCAGTCATGACTAGGAATTATTCAGGGAAGAAATGCCCGGTATAGTGCTTACTTTATTAAAACTCCATTTACCACACTTCTGTTCTGCTTGATACTGTGGGATATAAATATTGTGTGGGATATAAATATTGTGGGATATAAAAGTGTGTGCAGATATGCAGAGAGAAAAGTCACATCCTCTCCAAGCCTTCAACAGTTATAAGCTTAGAAACTTCCTGGTCTATAAGTCTTTGTGTTTGGTAACAATCAATGGATTTCTCTTCAACAGATACACCTGACCTCCGCTGGAGGCCATACAACAGTTCTTTAACAATGTGTCACAGCTTAACTAAATGTTCCCTGAAAATATCCTCCCTTAGGTTGTTTTCAGCTGCCACTTCCTAGATCTTTTGATGTCCCTAATTCTTGTATTGGAAAAAACACAACATGAACAATCTGCTCCGACCAGCCTGTCTGTGCCACTTGTGACTGAACAGATTTCTGTTGCATCTCCTAATAGATGTTTCATCTTCGGCTTCTTTCTTTAAAATAACCCACCACCTCATTTTTAGGGAGCTCCTTTCTAGACATTATGTGCAATTGTCCACACATTTGTTACTCCTGTACAAATCTGGATGTATTACAGTAGCTACTGTGCACAATGTTTTGACAGTGGCATTTTGAACCAGGCCTTATATGCTACTTAGTCAAGTCAGGGGATGTTTTTAATCCTCACCAGCCCTTGTGCCAGCTGCTCTGTGGGGAGTCATTGACTATCTGAAATAGTCACCTTGGCCACACGCTCTGACATGACAGTCACTTTACCATAGGGCAGCCCCTGCCTCGCATTACTGCCCTGGCCTCTGCCTGCACAGCCTCTTTGACCTCCCTCAGAGCCTTGGCTCAGAAGTCAGTGATACAGAAAATATATTTTTCTTATTCCAACTGGAATTCTAGTCCATAGGTTTGAAATCTAGACTAACATGTTCATTTTTTATAGTGGTTTTTTATCCTAAACTTTCTGCAATTTGTTGTAATTATTCCACCACTAACACCTTCTACTTATCTTTCCTCTATAGTTTGGACCTTAGTATTCCATGGTCACCCTGAAGGATTGTCCTCAAGGGTATGAGAACTAAATTCTTACTTGGATTCTATCATTCTCACACTGTTCTAACACTAAGCAAGAAGTGACACTAAGAAACTAATTTTGGTTTGTCTTTTTGGTTTTGTTTTTTGGTTGTTTTTTTTTTCTTTATAGCTGCTGTCTCTGGAATAGGAGTGACTTTAAGTATTTATTTATCCCACTACGAATTTACTTTATGACAAACATGGGCCTTGACAATTGTATATTATAGCAAACAAATAGCAATTTTAACAATAAAATTATTTTTATGCATAAAGAGCTCACACAGAGATGTAAAACTTCTAATAGCTATGTGCAGAAGACAGAGTGAACACCCTGGTGTCACTGTTCTATCTCAGAAGAAAAAAACCCATTTGCTTAAATGCATTGGAGGAAGGTGCTTTATGTTCTATGTTGTCTTTGGTCTATCTGAATTTATTTTTTGACTCAAAAGAGTGACAAATGTGTTTCAGATATAACTTTTTTATACTATTTATAGGAAAAAAAGTTCTCTTTATGGCAAATGAAGATTTTCAGATGAACACATACTCCAATCTCACTGAAGATACTCAATTGCATAATACAACAATGTGTAATTATTTTGGTGAAAATAAATATATGCAACCAGAAATTTTTGTTTTGGTTAATTTGGGTATTTTTTACCCTGGGCTTGGCCTGGAAGGGACCACGACACCAGGGGACAGGCTGGGCCAGTCAGACCAGTGTCAGAGCAACAAACAGCTGAGGTCCTCTGTAAATACAGCTCTACTCACTAATTATATTATCATATCTTTTTTGGTTCATTTATCTGTTAGCATATATCTTTTTGAGCACAATACTGGCCTCTGTTCTTAGCTGCCTTCAGTGTTGAGAAACTTTTATCTCCCAAAGCATCATTCAGCCACTGTTTGTGCCAACCTG